GCTGGGGAAGTAGAATGACAGCCAGGAGAGGTTAAGAGTTCAATCAGGAGGCTGATTTTTGTCACTCAAGGGAGAGGAACCAGGCAGTGGTTGAAGATGCAGATTTGACAGGTGACTGAGTGATATCACATTGGGGAAGGTCTTGACCCTGGGTGGAAATCTGGGGGAGGAGCTGGTGTGGGAGGATGATGGTGAGGTTGACTTAGGCAAGCTGAGTGAGGTGAGTCAATAGGTGTCCAGGGTAACATGACTGAGGAGAAGGTGAGAGGTGTGGGCGTGTGGCTTCCATCTAGAGATCCATGTGGGGTGTCATTAAGGGCAGGAGGGCACAGAAAGAGGTGAGACGGGGGCTAGCCACATGCCTAAGCAAGTGCCTCTGCTTAGGAGGCTGGAGCAGGGGGAGCCAGTGAAGACACGGAGTCGAGGAGGGAAGGCAGAGATTTGAGCAGAGTTGGCCAAAACTTCACATCAGGACTGGAGCAGCTGAGAGTAATAGCATTTGTTTTTTTCTTTGTAATTTTGTCTTCGAAAATTCAAAAAAAAATTTTTTTTTGAGAGGTTTTTGTCATAGGGCGCGTGTACTCGCCAGAAAGACAGAGACAGGCCTCCCGGTGCATATCACAGGCTGTGTTCCTGCACTGACTGTATAGAAAGAGAGTAAACCTACCCCATATACACCTCAGCCCAGGCCCTGTGCCTAGTCTGTATTGTGAGCGGGGAGACATGGAACTGAGAGGAACTTGTTTCCATTTCCTTTGGGCATAGTAGGTGTGGAAGTGGTTGAGGTTGAGGCTTTGAGCTGGGTCAGCTGGGTCAGGAAGTACTGTGGAAAGAAAATAAAGAAAAAAAGAAAAAGAAAAAAAAAAGAGACAGAGACAGAAAGCAAGAAATCACCCCCTAGGGGAGATGGCCACACCACAATCCCTTCTCCTCCATTGTCCCCTGGGGATCTTGGGTATGCACGCACATGCGCGCGGCATGAGTTTAAGTCACTGGGTCTGGGACTCAAACCACGGTTGAATACATGGGAGTTCAGCGACATAGCCATTACATCATCTGCTGATTAAAAAAATTCTATTTTTCTCTTTTTAAGTTTTTGCTGGGGGCTGGCAGGTGGCTTGGTGGTTAAGGGTGCTGGACTCCCACATGGCCAACCACAGTTTGAGTCCCTGTGGTCAACCATGTGGGAGTCCAGCAACATAACTGCTATGCTGCTATGCCATCTGCTGACCCCAGTAAAGGTGTTTTTGGGTTTTTTTGAGAGGTCTTTTTTTTTGCTACAGGGTGCATGTGCTTGCCCGAAAGACAAAGAAACAGAGAGACAGAGAGACAGAAAGTGAGAAATCACCGCCCAGGGCGGATGGCCATACCGCAATCCCTTCTCCATTCTCCTCTCGGGATCTTGGGCACACACACATGGGTGTGTACCCGGCGTGAGTTTAAGCCACTGGGTCCGGGACTTGAACCGCGGTAGGCTACATGGGAGTCCAGCGACATAGCCATTATGCCAACTGCTGGTCCCAATAAAATAATTCTTTAAAAGAAAAAAAATTAAAATTTTTGCTATAGTGTGTGTACACTCGCCAAAGTGACAGAGACAGTGAGAGGAAAAGTGAGAAATCATCCCCGCTCCCCTGAGATGATAGCCAAACTGCAATCTCTTCTCTCTCTTGGGATTTTGGGCATGCACACACATGTGCCTGGTGGGATTTTCCAGCCACCGGGTCCAGGACTCAATTTCAGTTGACCATGTGGGAGTCCAGCACCCTTAACTACCATGTTACCTGTTTAACCCCCAAAATTCTCTATTTTCAACATGAATTTTCTGCTTTTTGAGTATTGGCAGTGTGTGTGTATATTTAAATTTTAGGTAGTGTGTCATCCCAACTGGGAGGTGATTTCTCTTTCC